TCGCTCACTCAATTATTCAGGCATAATAAGCAAATTGTTTTAATATGCATAAATATCTTGTACGCCATTTGGCAAACAAGTCAAAAACTGCCAGACAAGCTGGCAGGCGAGACAGCGGAGACGCCAGTGAGTGAGGCGAACAGGGGTTGGCCTTCAAGGTGTGTTTACATATATTTAACCTTCAAGATCCACAGACTAAATACGCCAACGGCAAGCCCAGCGACAAACATTTGTCCCAGGCAGCTTTGGTGACTCTTCGAATACCCCACAGCTGGCAGGCAGCAGGACTCGGCCGGTGCTGGTGAAGTGGCCCAAAATGGCCAACCATGTAGCGCAGTGTAGTCTGCCTCATTTGCCTCGGTACTTCCACAAAATTACGTTACGTGCGTGTTCTGTCTGTGTGGCATACAGAAGCGAGGGGGCGTGCACTGTGGTTGCGGGGGTCGGTAAGGCAGCGGTTGCGGATGGCCCTGAACAGGGGAGCAACAAATAAAAGCTCAGGCCACAACGCAGAGCGAGCAGATAGCGAACTACGCATATGCGAGACCGAAGGATATGCGTTGCAAAAACCACATGGCAGTTAGCTGAGAAGGATTAGCGAAAAGTGGGCTACGACAAGGGGTTAGTTGGACTCAATAATACCCTAGTTGCAATAATTAATAGGAATTGCAAGGAATAGGAATGAGAAGGAATTTGCGAGTATTAATAAATATTTGAAATATATTCAAGACGAAACGTGACAGACCCATTCATTAGATAAAGACTTGCCTAATATCGAAGATAACAATAGAATTTGTATCTACTCGAGAATTTTCTAGAAGTCGAAGACTGCACTGAAATAGATCTCATAAAAGTTTAATATTTTTTCTATTTTATCCACACAAAGCCAGGAAATTCGTGTTTATTCAATAACTCAACAAAAGAGACAAACTGTCGGCTAAACTAACGATAGCATCATAATCTTGCGAATCATTCAATAAACCACAGAATTTCTTTAAGAATTCAAATCCAAACATTGATTCATAACAAATGTCTATCTATCTACTTGTCTATCCCTGAAGAGAGTAAATCACTTGAAACCAACTTGATTCGTTTCTAATTTGTTTTACCAGCTCTCACAGGCTCTGGGCAAATAATGAGCTGCTCTAGGGTCAACCRAGCTCAATTCTGAAACCCTCTTGAACCACTTTGGCGGACTACAGGGTATGGCAAAAAGGAAAGAATAAGCCAGTAGCTATTAAAGCTGACGAGGGCGAGGCTGGCGAGGCACATGCAATGGGTAGCGGGGCACGTACGCCGTCTGTGGCACGTTACGTATACGCACATGCAAACATGCACAACGTAATGCGAGCTCAAGGACACGAGCCAAATCAAACAAGCAAAAGGGAGAAAAAAAAAGAACAGAGAAAAAAGAATGTGCTGCCTACGCATATTTACGCATACATAAGCATTCGCATTATGTCGTGTGCTATGCGGTGTATACGTAATGCCGGCAAAATAAAGCATACGCCGTGTTGCCAGCCGCGCGACGCAGGCGTCGGAAGTAGGCAACCGAAAGGAAGTAGAGACAACAATTTTTGTGCGCACCTCACATTATGCTATGTACACAGTGTCTCTATCTCTCTGTGTGCGTGTGAGTGTGTATGTGTGTGTGTCGAAGTTCTATTTATTTAATATACAAATATGACAGTAAATGTGTGTGACGACAGCTTAGACATTTATGCGCAGTTAAGCTGATTGAAGATTGTGCGATTTCATTTTTTAAGGCCTGGCTAATATAAACATTAGCAGCTTGCGTTGCCGTATAAATTATAGTCTTAAGCTGACGCATGCTTTATTTATATACACGTATTTTTTTTAGCAAAGTGGACTTTAAACGCTTGAAACATAAATTAAATGAATATTAAAATAAAAAGCCGTCTGCATTATGTCGGCTGCTCTTGTTTGTGTAAGTTTTTTCAGTTATCTTTAAGGTTTGCTAGAAATGAAATGCTAGATTGAAAGTAAAAATTGGTTTTGATGAGGCGGAGGAGGAAAGTAGACACTGTGACTAGGATAAGTAGGGAACAGAAAATGAGATACTATGTAGTATATGAGAAAAAGGTTGGGCTGTGAAAGGACTTTAAGATCCTTTTACATATATTCAAAAGATTTATATTTTTTGGTCAGTAGTTGTAGATAATATGAAATGAATATTTGATTATAAATAATATATAAGCCTTATATTTATAAGATACTAGTTAATTTTACATATACATCGCTTAGATTACTTTACTAAGTTCAGGCAATCTGGAACCTGGAACTAGGAATAGGCTTTGCTGGCTATCGCTTCTATTTCCGTTTCTTCTCATTTGCAAGTTTTGAAAAGTTTTCTCTTCAAACTTATTGCATTCTAACTTGTGAAACTATAAGTAAAAGCAAAGTCTGTGTTAATGAGAAAAAAATGCGTTTGGTTGTAGAAAGTTTGAAATATACTTAAAAACTATAAAACTTACTACCACAATTTAAATTG